ATGGGAGATTCCATCCTTTCACTATTGTTATTGCCACAACAGTCGCAGGCGACTGCATTCGTTAAAAGCAAAGATGCTATAAAGGTATTTCTTTTCCCCGTTGATTAATGGTCATTAATAAACTATTGTTGTCACTGTAGCCGACCTTCAGTTTCAATATTTCTTCTTACTTTTTGCCACGTACTCTGACTGACACGTCATCCATCTTTCCCATGAATGGCTAACGAACTTGTTGCAAAGCAAGTTCTTCCCCACCTCTTACCTACACGCAACTCTGACTGGAGTCACGAGGAACTATACTCCGTGCGTCAGTGTCATGTCGTATAATTACAAACGGGCACCTGGATTTATACCCGTAATCAAAACCAAAACCGATGAATTATGGTAAAAAAAACGTTTTTCTTTCCTTCGTACTCTCCAACGTATACATTTAAAGCAAAGTTCTCGTGTTAGACAGAAGAAGGGATAACACTAAAAAACGCACTGCACTTCAGCAGTAACATGTCTTAAGTACTCCAGGTCACGCATACTCCAACGCTTGTAAGGAATTCCGCGAACTTGACTAAAAAAGACCTGTAACACAACGGCGTAAATCATGAGTGTTCCTTGGTGGCGTTGTGTGGAAGCGGGAATCCTAGGAGCGGCGACTGATCGGAAGGGGAAATTTTGTTCGTAATTAGAGAAAGAAAGAGGGAGGGAAGGGAGGAGAGAGAGAGTATACATATGTATAAATACATTACACACAGATACACACACACAACTATATATATGTATATATACGTGTATATGTATATACATACACACATTCATTTATCTATATATTCTACGATAAGCATCCCTGCACACATTAATACAAAGGACAACTGAAAACGCCATAACACCAGCTGTTCCTGAATACGGCGAATGAGTGTACTGATAGAGAACAAAGACAGGAAGTGCCATAAGGACAGGGAGAAGGAAAAAAGGCAGTTATCGGGAGTGAGAGTTAAAGAAAGATAGCTGGTCATAATGCTGTATAATGCGATTCTAATGGCAATGCATGGTGATATTATAATGCATTATTGATTATGAATGTGGTTATGATAGTTGTAATTGTAATGATAATAGTTATAGTGATAATGCTGATGAGGATAACAGTAATAACAATAGTGATTCTAATGAGGGTATTATTATAAAAATATGGTGTTATCAGATAATTCAAATTGGATAATTGTATGACTTAATAAAGTCAAATCATATTAACAAAAATTGCAACGTGAAGAGAAGTAAAATGAATGCATCTAAACTGGCACCCTGTGAGACGTAACAGATGCTTCCTGGTCGTGATTCAACTATTCAAATAATTTATGGGAAAGGGGGGGAGGGAAGGGAATTGTTTTTTTTTTTTGTTTTGTTTTTGTATTGGCTAAAGAATGCGACAAGCAGAAAGTACATGGAAAGAATTCATTAGTCAAAGGACAAGAAGAGTCTCTCAAGTCAGAATACAGGATTACAGACCGGGCAAGGAGGATTAAACATAATACATGATTCACAAGTTTGTATCACACATAATGAAGAAACTTTTACTGATGGCGAAAATGACCGATAACGGCCGTGTACTTACGGGTGGCCAAGCAAAGGAAGGGGAAAATAAAATGACCATGGGTAATGACAATGCAGAATTTGAGTCATCACGGATAAAAAAAAATCAAATTAAAGACAAAGGAATTAACCAGAGAGGTAAAAGATAAGAGGAAAGAGAGAAAGATGGCGACAACACATTGTAGTGTGTGAGCTTGGCTGCACGCTTAATCCAAACAAAGAACAAAGCTAAAAGGAGAAAAAAATAAATGGACAAAGAATAAGTTTGGATTCGTAATGGAAAGAAAAATTGAAGAGATGTGTAAAGGATATTGACTAAGGCATCACAGAAAGGAACGTTAAGCAGCAGGCATTTGAAGAGTAGATTTGATAGAACGTGATAGTTTGTAGGTTTCGCAACTATGATCAGAGAGACTTAATGCAACAGGTGAAAGTAAATAATGCTAAAATCTAGAAAGGTAATTTAGTGTCAGTCTTCCACTACTCACATATATGTAAATTATATGGAAAATGTTGACAAGTATAACTAGAAAGAGTTACACGGGACCTTGAACAAACTGAACTGTCATGATCTGACCAAAACAAATAAAAAAGAAAGGAGAGGACAATCGAGAGAACAGATACCATATATTATCTATTCAATAATCAATACACAGGCTGTAGCGTAAACTACAAGAATGCATGGTCAACGGTACCATATTCACATATTGGACTGATTTGGTATTGCAAATAAGAAAAGAGAAAAAAAACTTGCCGCCGGGAAAAAAAGGGGGAAATGCAGTACTCATTTTTTATATATTTTTGTGAAATATCTATGTCCATAGATGGCTCTGCTAGTCCTGATTTCACCTGTCCTTGAATTGGCGGGAAAAAAACTATTCTTACTAGTGCTATATATATAGATGGTGTTATTTTTAACAGCAAATTAAGATAACGTTAAATATTTTCGTAAATCGAAGAAAAGGGTAAACGAGCGAGACAGGCAGTACTCGTAATTGGCTCATTGGATACTTAGTACAAGTGTAGCCATCTATGTGTAAAAACAATCGAACAAGTCGACTCACAGTGGGCATGGCATGTACGTACATGCCATCCCCGGCGGCAATGGGTTAATGGTACACCGGATAGTGACGTCGAGAGGAAACATTGGGAGAAGCATCAGGCAAGGAATTTCAAGGAGACGTCCTTTCACTATTGTGATACCTGTTATCCCCATATGTTTGATAATGAATGAAACAAGGCCAGAAGAATACCGATTTAAACGGGGCTGATTCCATATCGTATACAAAGAACATGAATCCTTATAAAAAAGCCATTTGGAATCCGAAAGTGTGTTGTGGTGGAAATGAAAAATGATTTACCGATAATGTTGCCATAGTCAACAGCACGGAAAGGAAGAGCCTTCTTAAAGAACGAATTTTAGAGCTTTAAAATTTTAATATGATTTATAAAGCTCGGGATAGTAACATGCAATCAGCGTGAGATTGAAGTCGTATATGATGTACAGAATACGGGCTATTCAGCGGATAGAATGTGGAAAGAGAATAAACTAAGAAAAAGAAAAAAAACAAGGAAAAATATTTATCCAAGAGATAATGCACTTATATTATTAGTAAACAAAGGGGGAGGGCTAGAAAATGTTGACAAGGAAATTGTTAAGACAAAAAAACATGTTTGGGAAATTACTTGAAAGGGGCATTCATGTTGGATGAGGCACAGGTAAAAAAAAATATGATGAAGATTATGAATTAAAATAAAAAAAAGACCTTCGGGTGAAATAAATAAGAAATGAAAAAATGTGTGTTTATACACCGGAGGGAAAACACCCCAACATACTATATGAAACTAAACTCTGAGTATGA